AAATAAAAAAAATAAATAAAAAGCGGAGGTGTTACTACGACCTTATGGCTTTGTTTTTGGCTTAAAGGAGGAAACAGGTGTTGTGTATGTTGTGGACTGCAGTGCCTGGCACCTAGTAAGTGCTTAGTAAACTTCAGTCGCAGGGCGGGGATCATCCAGCTCCATCCTAGGAGCAATCTATTTCTTATTCCTTATTTTTATTTATTTGTTCCAGTAAGGAATTACATTCCTGTTTTCAGGGAAAACACCCTAGGAGAGGGTGGAGAAAGTGGAAGGGGGCTGCCGGGTTCTCAGCCCCTGTGCCTTAGCCAGAACACGCATCCTAGGGATCGGCAATGAGAGTTTTCATCTCTTGCATCTAGGGAACCACAAACCATAGGCTCGTCAATTCTGTTGTCGTTCCTCTTGCTTTGCTCTCCTTTCTTGTGCTTTGCAAACTAAACTGGCAAAGCTAATGAGGAAGGTTAGAGGGTGAGTTGACCTCTGAATTTAGGTCTGTGCCCCTCTAACCGCTTGATACTTGTACTCTCTGTTTTTGGGGAAGATGGTGCTCCTGTGCCTGCCGAGACCGTGGCCCTGGTGGGAAGAAATCTCTGTCCAGGCTCCGTTCGTCCCTTCTAGCACCATGTCTGACACAGAGCAGGTGTTCAGAAAATGGCTGTGATTTGGCGAATGAATTTGTGGATCTCTGTTCTCTCTCTGGAGAGAAGCTCCTGCCGAGACCCCCCTGGAGATGGTGTATCAAGACAGAGGCGTGGAAAATCCCTCTTTCTCTCAGTTCAGCTAAGATCATGTTTTTCAGAAGTACTCTTTCCTTGTAAACCAAGTGCAAACAGAATAAATGCCGAGTATAGAAACCGGATGGAGATTTTGCAGTATGACTTAGCGGCAATCTGCTCTCCGATGGCTGGGCCAGCTCTGGCCTCCTCCCCACTTTTCTCTCTGGGTTGAATTCTCAGGCTGCCAGGCTGAGTTTGGGTTTGGGTTGGCAGGTTCTCCGGCCTTGTGGGATTCTCCGATCCCTGGGAGCACCTGCTTCCTGACATTGCAACCTTGATGGGAACTCCCTCCCAGAATTTCTTCTAGGCTGCAAGCCATTTGGTAGTAACCCTGGTGGTGATTTTTGTTAATTAAATTAAAAAACATTTTTTAAATGTTTTTTTCATAGGATTCACAGGATACAAAAATTTTAAATATATAATGAGTTATACCATAAAGAATCTCCATCTCTTGTACCCCAGAAACCCAGTTCTCATTCAACACCCCCCCCAAAGAGAATTATTATAACAGCAGTTTATCGGACATTCTTCCAGACCTTCTTTATGCATATGGAAGGAACATATATATGGAAAAGCAGCCGGGGACACTCAGCAATTTGTAGGAGGTCCACAGACTGGGGTCTCTATCTCCTCGTAACTTCAGGGAATAAAGTTTGCTAAAGTGTTTTGTTGCCCTACTTAATTTCCAGCAACAGCTTCAATTTTCTCCAGCTCCTTACTTGGGGAGATGGATAGGAGGGGACAAAGCCCAGTGCATTTATATGTAATTTTTAAAATGCATTCGTGCTTCGCCTGCTTGAAAATCAAGGCGCTATCTATTTCAGTTCAAAGGGCCTGTTGGAAACCAAATCACATCGCTGTTCCAGAGCAGTTAAGTTCAAAGAACAGATGTGACAACTGAGTTAATTGGTATTCTGTAAATAAAAATACATATTCTTATTTTTCTCTTATCTTTTCATAAGGTAGCGTATTATACACACTGTTCAGCATCTTGCATTATTTAAGACTTAATATAACCTAGATCTTTATGTACCATTAGAATTCTTCTCTCTCTTTTTTAACAATTGCATAAAATTCCATTGTAAGAATGATACAATTTTTTGCAAGTACTTTATTGGTGCCCATCTGTGTTGATTCCTTTATTTTGCTGCTGCAGAAACTCCGTACATATACGCAGTGACCTTGTCTAACACAAAACATGCTCCGAAGTAGGACAAGTTTTGTAAGGGACAGAACCACTTAGTGATTGGCACCCCTCGCCCCCAGGACAACAGAACATTGACCTAACTGATCCGATGGGGTCTATTCTGTTCGGCTAAGTCTATATAACAAGACCTAGTGGACAGGGTTTTGAACTCAGGAATTGAGGAAAGGACACATGTCTGGTTCTCTTACCATACCCGGTCAGAAATAGTCCATTAATTAGGTTGAAAGTATAGAAGGCGGATCGTTGTGCAGATTCCTGTGTCTGGTTCCTCCTCAGTAAAGGACCGAGGATCCGAGTTCCCAGTGTGGTAGAAGCACATATATATATGGAAAAGCAGCCGGGGACACTCAGCAATAGTAGGAGGTCCTCGCCTTGCGCTGCTCGTTCTTCTCCATCACCATCTCACTGCTCCTGGTATGGCTGCTTCTAGCTTCAGTCCTAGGAGTTCCAGTCTTTCCGCTGTGCCTTTGTCTTGGCAGCCATGTCAAGTTCCCTCCTTAGCCTCTGCTCCTTTATCAGCCGGTTTCTCCCGCAAGCTTTGTCTCCCTGTAATGCTCTGCAGAATTCCGGCCGTGGCCACGGCTGGTGGCAGCCCTGGCAGGACCGGAAGGTGCTGTACCTTCCCCTCACTGTGAGCTGTAGCCTTTCTGCCTCCCCTGATCGGTCGGGGGCCGTGCTTCTCGGATTCCTCGGTTGGGTAGCGTGGTGATGCTCCCAAGTCCTGCCCTGAAAAGTCCCTGGGCAGTCATCACCTGTTAACCACGTCCAGCCTTGATTAACGATGCTCACATTTACGTGGATCCCTCCTCCACTGTGGTCCGGGAGGGTTTCCCATAGCAGTTGACCTTGAAGGACTACCCTTCCCACGGACCTCTTTCTCCTTGCACTTTACCCAAAGCATCTTCACGAGCACAGTTTCCCAGCTTGGATTCCTCGGGGACACCAATTCCATAACCCATTCTTTGGTCTCAGAGCCGTGTCCGTCCCTCAGCATCATGAGTACCCAAGACGTGCTTGGGAAACTCTGTTTGGGGCAGCCTGTTGTTATTAGGACGTGTTTTTCCACCTTTTGAGGAAGCTTGGCTTCTTCGCCTGTGGTTCCGAGGCTTCCCGGTGGCCATGAAGACCTTGCTCAGGGGTGCCTCCCCTCTAGTAGTCAGAAACGGCCTCCCTGACTCTTCCTGTTTGAAAGCCTCCATCTGGGGCTGCCCACTAGGTTTCTGTTTCTGCCTGAGAGAAGGCTCTAGCCTCCCAGAGCGGTGATGAGCGCCCGGCCCATGGCCTGCTGACTGATGAAGGTTCCCCCGCCTCTTGTCAGACCTGCCCACATCTGGGAGAGCTGCTGGGTTGTGTTTGTGGGGTAACCTTCCAGGAGCCCGCCGTGATACTGGATTTCAAAATGCAGTATCCACCACACGCACATTGTCGGTCGTGGGAAAAAGAACTTATTTTCCTAGCTCAGCACATGTTTGCAGCTTTCCAGGGGTCTTTCTGGTATGAGAATTTAGATTATGGAGGTCTCCCTCTTTTTCTTTTGCAGTCCTGTTGCGTCTATGGTCTGCGCCTAATGATACCTCGCTGTAACTTCCTGTTTCCCCTCCAGTGACATGTGGGGAACGCATTCTTGGGGGGGGAGTGGATAGCGGCAGCTGTTGTCAGAAGCCTGAGCACTTGCCCCTTCATGACCATGACTGGTGGGATGGGTCAGTGCACTCATTTGAAGTGGTGAAGAGTGTACCCCCCAGGGGACTCACTGGCTCTGGGGAGCTATAGCAGTGGGGCCAGTCCCATGATTTGTCACAGGGAGAAGGGGTCTGGTGCCAATACCTCTATGTTTAAAATTCGTTCGAGCTCTCAAGACTCTGAGATCATCTTGCGAGTGTATTTATGAGCATGCTCTCCATCCGCAGCACCGAGACCTCCTCTCTGTGTTCACTTCTGCATACCTGGTGCCGGCACAATGTCTGGCACATGAAGCTCAAGAAATGTTTGTGGCTGGATGAGTAAAATCTCTTTTCCCAGTTGTTGCCCCCTTTGGAGGCTTCCTCAGTCGCTCGGGGATGAGCGGCAAGACCAGCCCAACCGTGGCACCAAGTTGAATGTCCTGGTGGATTTGGAGGAGAGACAGGGTGGGATTATGGGGAAAGATGTTGAATTTGCAGAAGGCTTGGCTTTGAATCTTAACTCTGCCACCGGCTTATTCCGAGGACCTCTCTGAGCCTCCGTTTCTTTTCTTTTTTTTTTTTTAAGATTTTATTTATTTATCTGAGAGAGAGAATGGGAGACAGAGAGCATGAGAGGGAAGAGGGTCAGAGGGATAAGCAGACCCCCCGCTGAGCAGGGAGCCCGATGTGGGACTCCAGGATCATGACCTGAGCCGAAGGCAGTCGCTTAACCAACTGAGCCACCCAGGCGCCCCTAAGCCTCCGTTTCTTTATCTGCATGGGTGGGATAATGATTGCTCTCCTCTCGCACATATTTCACAATCTTGGGTTGAAGAATGTATGGCAACTGTGTTTTAAACCATAAAGTCTGCAGATGTGGAGGATTCCAAAATTATAGTCTTTCTCCTCTTTGCTTTTTTTTCCCCCCCTTCACATGAAGCCAGGTGCCTTGTCTTGCCTGTACCAACACTGTTGGACTCTCCTGTGCTTGGGGCATGATCTCAGGGTCGTGAGATCGAGCCCTGTGTTGGGCTCTGCGCTGGGTGTGGAGCCTGCTTAGGATTCTCTCTCTCCCTCTCTGTCTGTCCTCCCCCCTCCTCTCTCTCTCTCTAAAAAAAAAAAAAAAAAGAATCTTCTGTGGCAGCCTGGATCCCCCTGTAGGATTTCCATTGCCTGAATTCCCTAATAACTCTTGTGCAGAGGTATTACTAAGCCTAGCACACTCCCTTCTTAGACCTCGCCTTGGCCCCTGTACCACTGGCGAGCACTCCGTCATTGTCACGTATCTATGAACTAGACACCAGGCGCTGTACCATCAAGGGCTGCTTGACGGTGTTTCTCTCTCCCCAGGAGGCTGCTGAAGAGTGAGCTTGGATCCTTCATTACAGACTATTTCCAGGTAAGCTGCGTGGGTCTGAGTGTCTGTCATTATAGTGTACGTGGATGCATGTACCATTCCTTCAACATCCAAAATTACGGACACCGAGTCCCTGATACGGGCAGGGCCAGTGTGGTCCCTCCTTTTATGGAGATGATGATCTTGGGCAGCAGCTCTCAGGCTTTTTTAGTCTCAGGACTCCTTTGTGCTCTTAAAAATGACCACTTATTTGGGTTATCTCTGTCTGAATCACGATATTGGAAATGAAACCTGAGAAACTTTAAGATATTTAATTCATTTAAGTCATAAACCTATTACACATTAGCCTAAACAGCATTTTTATGAAAGATGGCTTTTTCAGAAAAAAAACAAAACAGAAGAGTGGCATTGTTTTATGCTTGCAAATCTCTGCACCGTCTGGCTCCAGAGGAGGTAGCTGGATCCTCGTATCTGTTTCCCATGCAGTCTGTTGCGGTACTGCACATCATGTAGTCGCTGGAAAATCGCACGGTACACCCATGGAGGATGCAAGGAAAAGGGCAAATTGTGGCTTCGGGTTACTGAGGAAATGGTTTTGACCATGTGGGCAAGGTCTAAGGATCTCTCGTGGGACCCCAAACCACACTTAGAGAATTGCTGCTTGAGTGACCTTCCGTCCCACCCCCATGGATGGCATCTAAATCACTGTAACTGTAGGTATCCTTCAGCCAAGTTGTTTCTGGTCGCTAAGCCTCCCGGTCTGTCCTGTTAAAGATGATTGGATCAGGGGATCTGACATCCCTCCTGCCAAAACCCTATTTTTACGGGGCTATTGAATTCAAGGTTCCAGTCTCACTTGGAAGATGGTCTCTAATCCACTGATACAGGTGGTTTTCCTGATTCTAACCACAGGCACATGGGGACGGGGGAGGGCATGGGGACGTGTTGTTTGACTGAGTAACTCACTGGGTGACACTTTGGTGAAGTCAGAGTTCCTGCTTTTCACTTATTAGTTGAGTGGTCTTGGGCAAGATGCCTTGTTTTCCCCATTTGTAAAATGGGAATAAAAATATGACCTACCTTAGAGGTCATTGTATGGTTTACATGAAATGATATCCGTAAAGTACTCGGCACATAGTGTGTGGGGAGGGAAGTGGGGGAACAGAGTGGGGGAGTGGTCAAGATCATGCCCCCTAAAGCCAGACTACCTGGGTTCAGTGCCCAGCATAGCCACGTACTAGCTGTGTGACCTTGAGCAATTTGCTTTACCTCTCTGTGTTTTAGTTTTCTGTTCTATAAAAACAAGGGTAATAGGACCAAACCTTACAAGGTTGTTGTGAGGACCGACTAGATTATTATTTGTTAAGTGTCAGGAACAGTGACGAGCACAGAGGAAGACAGAGTAATGTGGTCGTTAAATTTATATGTATGCATATTTGTTATTCTAAGGTGTCATCCATCCCTTTTAATGGGAAAGTAACATAAAAACAGAAAACATCTTGGTTTCAGGTTGGTGATGTTATTCCATATCCAAGGAGAACATACTTTTAAGACCATTTAAAGAGTTTTTAGGTCTTAAAAACAACACAGGCATTCTTTTTTTTTCTTACCAAGATTCAGGAAGCTTAAACTTTTATGTGCACTTTAATTTTTTTTAAGATTTTTTATTTATTTATTTGACAGAGAGAGCACACAAGCAGGGAAAGCAGCAGGGGGAGGGAGAGGGAGAAGCAGGCTCCCTGCTAAGCAGGGAGCCTGATGCAGGGCTCAATCCCAGGACCCTGGGATCACGACCTGAGCCGAAGGCAGACGCTTAACCTACTGAGCTACCCAGGCGCCCCTTATGTGCACTTTTAAAGAATGACAGATGTCAGTCCTTTAAAACACACACACACACACATGTGCGTGCACATGAACGCACGCACACGCACACACACGCACAGAGCAGAAAATGGCCGCTATAAATCTGGACAAAGCAAGACTCAACGGAAGCCTGGAATTCAGTTGGCTCAGATGTCTCAGCTGCTCGAAAGAAGGCCCGGGTCCAGGGAGAGACAAACGTAAAGATTAAGAAAGAGGTAATTAGTTACAAATGTGAATCATCTCTGTTGCCCTTGACTCAAAGGTCAGTCTTGTCCTCAGCCTCTCCTCTTGCTCTCTGTAGGGATTGATTTTTAAATCCAACTCCAGAGAAGTGGTTTTTCAATCAGTCCTGGAGGAACCTGCCCAGCCGGCCGCCTTCCTCGTTGACATTTAAAACAGCGTTTGGTGTGGTTTCCATCGGGTTTTAAATGTCAGTTGTCTTTTGGCACAGGGGGCTTACCCCTAGGATGGGTGGGGAAGGGCATTTGGGTGGGGACTTGTTTATCTGGGAAGCCCTGAGGTTTTGGGGGGCGGTTAATGCTGCTTACAAAGTATGCCAAACACTTAACTAATAACCACATGTCATTTTTTTTTCTATCGAGAGCTTAATCAGACAAACTGCTTGGTGAAGAGTGAGTCTGACAGTGTGGGGTAGGAACTGGTTTTCACAGTTTTGAATCTGGTTTTTCCTTAGTGTAGGGTGCTAGACGGGAGAGAGAGCTAGCCTGGACGCTGTCGAGCTGTCTGCTTAAATGTAGGTTTTAAGTCTCATGTAAGGAGCAGAGCCCTTTTTAAAAATGGTGTCTGGTTCCCCAGTCCCTGGAAGTTACCTGGCATAGAAGAGATACTCAGTAAAGTTTCTTGCAGGAGAGGGAGGTAGATGATTTTAGGTGGTAGAGGCAGGGGCGTTAAATAACATTCACCTTCGTGGCTGGAAATTATTTCCCTTCTTTTTCCTTTAGCGCTGCTGATTGTGCCAGAGAGAGTCTTGGTTTGCGAGTCTTTGACACTTCTGTGGGACTTGGCGATCGTGTTTCAGGAAGACAGAGCAGGCCTCAAGTGTAGAGCCTTCAGCTAGGGACACTAATTAGGATTTCATAACCTTTTTTTTTTTTGCTTTGAGTTGATGGTTGAGTTACATTCTATTTATGGCAACTGATGTTACTATAGTTTCATTTTTAGACATATGTATGTTTTAAAAGCGGATGGATTTAAGAAAAATAGTCTGCAAAGAGTAACAGTTTAGGCGGCCCTGGCTATGGCCAAATGCTGAAGGTGGTTCAAGAGAGACTCGGGTTTGGAGAGCCCCGTGCTAGGCACCTCTTGGAAATGGGCTGGTCCCAAAGCCATGCCAAGTAGAACTCTCCATGAGGGAGGATGGAGGGGAGGAGGGGCATCCAGGAGGGAGGGTTCTAGAGGCCAGCCTTCACATTCCACTGGCAGATGGAAAGTCTGAATGGGCTCCAGGAAGAACATTCCTCCAGCAAGGAGGAGGGCAGAAGGTCTGGGGACAAATAAGGAACAGAACCCAGGGGTGGACAGGGAAGACCCCAACACCATGGATGTGGCTGTTGGTGAAGATGATGAATGGGCTCCTTGGGCACTGGGCTTATCTATGTGGAGGGACAGATGGCCCCCTCCTGGGCATCTGCATTCAGCAGTGGACTCCCATCTCCTGGGACCCAGACCCCCAACCCAGACATCTCTACTTACAAAGCCTTCTTTGTGATGCCGCTTCTGAAAGTGAACATTCTCACTTTGTAGCTTTAAAGAAAGAGTCACAAAAGAATATTTTCAGCGAAGAATAATGAAAATGACCTGAGGTGAAGGCAGAGGGGAAGCAGGTGGAAAAACAGTGCTTATCTTGTGTCTACAGACACACAGGAGACAGGCCGTCTGAGCCACAGAAGCACAGATAGATTTCCAGAAGACACTGATCCCCCCAAAATCTGACATTTCCAGCATTTTCTTTTTCCCTCTGTTTTGCATTGCGCCTGGAAGGAGGGTTGGGTTTTCCCAGGGGAACTCTGTATCATAGAGACAGCTCTGTGGGATAATTCATTCCTTATAACTTTGGAAACCAATGAAATGCTATGCATTTTTGTATCACCTAATTAGTGGTTAACCACTTTGGTGGTGCGGGGCATGGGGATGCGAGGAGTTGCAGACAGCGTTTTCTATGTTCCTGTATCTGCTGGTGTTGCTGTGGCTGCTGCAAGCTTTCCCCTAAGCCCAGAAAGTTAAATTCCTTTTGGTTTTGCTTGATACAGAAACTCTGGGGTGCCTGGGTGGCTCAGTCGTTAAGCGTCCGCCTTCAGCTCAGGTCATGGTCCCAAGCGAGCCCCGCATCGGGCTCCTGCTCTGCGGGAAGCCTGCTTCTCCCTCTCCCACTCCCCCTGCTTGTGTTCCTGCTCTCGCTGACTCTGTCAAATAAATAAATAAATAAAATCTTAAAAAAATAAAAGAAACTCTGTCTATTGTCAGTGGCTCTGAACGATATAGTACCTAGGAAAGGGGGAAATTTAGTCACCCTAATGCCTAAAGGTGATGGATGACCTGGTAGCATTTGATACAAATACCTCCCCCCTACTACCCATATCTGTGAGTCCCAGGAGGCCAGTTTCCTCCTTAGCTCTTCATTATCAGGGAAAATTCATTGAGGGTTTATGGCAGAGCCGAAGGAGGAAACATCGAAGCATCGTGGCCACTGTGGAGTTGGAGATTGCAGACAGAACAGGGATGTAGATGCATCCATGCAGATGCATACCACACTGTGTCGTGTTAACTGAAAACCCGAATGGATGGTAAGGGCTTCCAAAGAAGCCCAGAATAAGTAGATTTTGTAGGGGGCAAAGATGGGACTGGTTAGAATCCACAGCTAGCTGGGTGGAGAGACGATAAAAAGTGGGGAAAATCACTTGTGTGTGATTTTTTTTTTTCCCAAACCCAAATGGAATAGAGGAGAAAAGTTTCAGCTCCTCTTTGGTCAGCCTGGGAAGTCTTCTCCAACCGATGGGATTCCCCAAATGGAAAAAGATGATCAGGTGGACAGAGGGTAGCAAGGGATGGAGTGTTGAACAAGTGGGCTGAGCTCCAGCGAAAAGACAAGGAAGAGGGGAGGGGATGATGCCTTTAGGTGAGAACATTGTTACAGGTTGTGTTTCGGATTTGGCCATTAC